GATGAATACGTGGTGTACATCGCACGCGATGCAATTGCTTCGACGCGAGAAGCAAGAAGGAGAGAAGCTTTTTGCGACTACTAATTTTAGGAGAATATTTTTAAATACTTATATAAGTAGAAATGTATTTTATAAATGTTGAAAATTGCACACCCCCCTTTGAATGCGCGCTGTTTTCAATTGTGGAGGTTTGCTATGAAATCGTGTAGATGTCGGTCATTTTACGAACGCACTGTCAAGCACAGAAATCCTTTTACAATCTTCTGCATTTAATCGACGGAAAGAACGTATCCCCTAATTCGCAACCGGCTTGCCGAATACCGAGTTTTCATTAATTATTCTCGGGTCCCCGTTGAATCGATGATTACATCGAATTCCGCGAATTCGCGCAAATACGCCGGGGATCGGCGCGACGAGTAATTACGAGCGCGAATAAACGCGAGAGAAGCCGGCGTCGCTTATAATTAAACGCATTCCTCTCCTTTTTTTTCGGTTCTCTTTCATAGCGGGATAAAATTTGCAAGAACTCGGATATCACCGGAGAGTGCGTTCGCATTCGCGTTTTGCATTCAAGCGCGCAATTTCGATACCGAACGCTATTTTGGCTGATCCACGCGATAAACGAGCACGTTTATATCTACTCGTAAAATAAGCGGTGGTTCTATTTACCGAACATTGAAATATGATGCTTTTAATGAAATTATATCCAGCACAGGGGCGGCTGAAAACTAAGCGATCGTCGGATAGACGTGCATTTGTAGTTACCGCACACCAATTTTGTGCGCTCTTGAGTATAGCATCGTTTTGCAATTATTATTATTCCAATTTGTGTCATTAGTACGCATGTAAAACTCAACTAAAAATGTTTTTTTTTTTTTTTACGTGCACAGGTACTATTATTTTACAATTATTTTTTAGCAGTTAAACGACTATATCTTCTTCCCAATTTCTCCCCTCCGAATATTTTCCAGAAAATATTCTATCATTCAACTTTTGACACATTTACATATACGATGGTGCAACGTGTCGAACTCGCGCGAGACTTTCGCCGCGATACGAAAATCGAGCATTAAAAACGCTCCAACCCCGATACCGGCGCCGAATTTTAGCACGCTGGGAAGATACGCGAACGCCGAGGGATTAACCGATCGAGCGGTCGAGCTATCAGAATCGGTGATACGAAAAGCCGGGGATCTCCATCAAACTGATAACGCATATTCGCGTAATGCGTCGACAGCGCGGGACGGGCAGGAACGCGAGGGGACCAGGGGGGGGATGCGAAAGGCTCGGGAGATGGGTGCTGCAAGGTAAACGATATTTACGTGGCTGGAAGATCGATAGCAATTTAGCCACCCTTCGCCGTTCTGAACGAACACCTCCCGGCAGCGACGGCGGTGGTGCACAGCCGCATCATCCCCCGTCCTTCCTCACCCGCCCCGTCGTTACGCAGGTACGTCCACCATCACCGCCGCCGCTTCCTTCCTCTTGCTTCCAAGCCTTCCACTTTCGTCCGTCTTCCTCCCGCATCCCCGTAACATGGCCTAGTCAGTACTCATCCATATACATCGAGAAAATTAATATCTGGGCTTCGTCGGGTTCGTTCGCGCGCATTGTGAATAAACTCGGTTGCGCCGCTCGGGTTTCCAACCCCTCCGTCTAAAGCCCTTATTCTCGTTCTTCCCTCTCGTTCCCCTTTCTCGCGCAGCGCAGCTTCCTCTCTTCGCTCCGTCGCACCGCTTTTTCGCCGCGCGCGAATATGGCTCTTACTCCCGACTGCAGTAACGTCGTTTAGTGCCAGCTTCGGTTAAATAAATTTCTTTGTTATTTCCGTGTCCTATGAAATAGCGACGTTGCGGGAAACTTTTTTATAGCACATAACGTTACACGTGGCTATCTTCCTCGGCATTTACAAGTAACTTGAGTTAATCATGAGAATTGCTCCAGGCGTCGTATATTGCACGTTAACTGCGGAATGTATTTATAATGAATACTACTCTGATACGAGCAATAGCGAGCGCTGGGTTGATGTTAATAATAATAGCAAAGAGAGAATTGCATTTTTCTTTTATTGCTGTATTTTCCCGAAAGATGTTGCGCAGCCGACATTTTCCATTACGTATCGCGTAATCCTTCCTTTATTACTTGCAGAAGGCTTAATACTCTCGTTCTGTGAAGATAAATGTATCACCACGATGATTAATACGTGTGTAAAAGGGAACAAAAATTTAATTCGAAACTGTAACTTGAGCTTGTACATTGCATGTAACTGCATGCACGTTTTTGAAAATCATATTGACGTACTACATATTTATTTTGATTGATCGCGTTTTAGTACACATTATTTGAAAGTTGAAAAATATGCCGCATCAGTATCTATAATTAAAAATTGTCGCGCGGTTTTTGAATCCCAAAAAAAAAGTTTGAAATTTTTCAATTTGTGTATTTTCGAGGGAATACACGCGAGACTTTTAATGTAATAATTTATATCGATATCCGATTCTTTGCCACGTCATGTATTTTTTACAAGCACGGATTACGTTACCCTTATTCGTCATTCCGCCGCACGTCGACGTTGTAACCAGGGGGTAACGTCCGGCGTAGCCGCGCGCACGCCGCTTATATTTACATATTTAACTAACCTAACGGCGCGAGCATTAACGCAAACACAGACGGATAATCCGGAATATATTAATCCGCGGCGGGCGCATACCATCGCTTTGAATTAACGCGAATATTCCTGTGTAAGCCCCCGCACGCGCAGCAACGTCGAATCGGACGAGTGCACCACCTCGCATGCATATTGCAGGTATGTTAATGCGCTTTCTCTCCCGCTGTCTCGTTTCCCTCGGTCTCGGTGGCATGGCCGTTCCCCGCGATGCAGTCGGATGCGCACTTTAACGACGTAAGTGGAGAACGAGGGAGCGGAAACGACGAGGCGCGCGACGCGACGCGGCCGAACGTGCTATCGGAATGTCCTCATTGTCTCCCTCCGAGCGAGTTAATCTGTCTCCTGGGGGAGCGCGAAATGCACCGCGGGAACAAATCGTTTTAATGCAGGGACAAACGAGTGGCGCTTTGGACTTTGGACGCAATAAATGCAGGTCCTTATCGACCTGCTCTCGTGTAATAGCGAGATCCATTTTTGCATTTCAGACATGTATATTTCTGTGAAAGAGAATGTTTTGTCTAAAAATTGCTTTATCTCTTTGAAGCTTAACAATAAACAAACAATTGCGTACGGTATTATTACAGCGTCGCTCTGTTATTATGCAACACTATTATACCGGGGTTAATGCGTGTCAATATTATTACTGACGCGTACAAAATATCCATCGGTGTAAAGCTCGAATCTGGTTGGTTTCAGCAGAGAAAACGATATTTGCCCGCAACACTAACTATTGTTATCGGTGTTCTATTAACTACAACGTTCAATTGACTGATATCTGGGAGAATGCGATTTCGCGTTATTATTGAGGCTTATTAGGACATATATTGATAGCTTCTGGACAATGTTACTCACGCGGATCAACGTCCGCGCCGCGTTGTCCATCGATATTCGCGATATATATATTTTCCGCGAGTCTCGAGATGTGTAAGCCCGATGATGAGAGGACGGGTCGAAAGCCACGGACGACGGAGCTTCCGTAAGCCGCTTTCGCCCGTATCCTCGGAGGGATTTAAGTCCCGACTCGTGCAGATCAAATTGTCGTCAAATATTTACGGGGACGGAGCCATTCGTCGTATATGCAGCGCGCTTCGAGTGTGTCGTTACGTCGCCGCACTTTGCCACGTCGCGTCGACACGAATCGGACGAAGGAGGAATCGACGCGGATGAAGACGCCGGCGACGCGGACGCCGCACTCCGTTTGCGCCGTCACGCGCCCGCGGAACGCGCTCTTTGAATTTTAATAAGTCGTAAAATCGTGGCGATTTCTAACCCGGGTTTAGTTCGATTCCTCATCGAACCAAATAGGAAACGCTTATTTTTTTATCGATTTCGATAAACGATTTTACCAAGTCGTTTTTGTAAATTTTTTTTTAGATAGAAGTATTCTTTGCTTTTATCTTATTCTTCATAGTGAATACAGTACGTTCGCATAAATTTCGCTATAAATGAAGATTTATTCACAAGTTTTATCTGTATTTTGATAAAGAAGCTTTCGCACTTATTGTTTTTTTTCTTTTTTTTAGAAAGTTCGTGAATTTTCTTTTATAAGTCATATTGATTGAAAATCTAAATGTTGTTATTGTTATTTTTAATAATTATTGGTCCTCTTGCGTGATCCGATGTTGTTTCGGTCGAGGAATGTCATTAACGAAACGTAATACACTTAAGTGGGCTAGTATCCTAAAATGCACAAAGTTTGGCGCATAGCCGTTCTCGTTGTATCACGGAAACCATCCGGAGCCTCGAGAGATCTTCACTGTCTGCGAGATCTTTCAAGTGTGCTCCAGCGTTGTTGCCGTTTAGTGGCGAGATATGCGAAAGATATGCAAGCCGCGCTGCTCTTGTGCAGCTGAGAAATTCTCGTTTAACCCGTAGCAAGTAATTTTGTCGCGCGTTGATAGTTGAATAAAAATGCGGTCAATGGATATCTTGAATTTAGGTATGCACACACATTTCTACGAGGCTTGTTCTTAAGTGGTAATTTTTCTAAACTATATAGGTAACGTTACTTTTAAATATATATATATTATGAAAATATATATTGTGAGAAAAGAAATAGAAATATGTCTATTAACAGATGATATTCGCAAAAGAATTGGTGACAATAATTCTGAGCGCTACGTAGGAACGCAACTCATTTATAGAGAGTTATTTTTACGGTACGCACTTGTAGCGCACGAAGAATCTTATTCGTTTGTCAACGCAGGTCACCTGTCAAATTTTATTTTACATTTAGATCTATAAATAAAATCAATTAACTTTAGGATACAAATCTATTGCTGATGCGAGACATAATACTAATTAATAATACTACTTAATATTTTATTTTCAGGAAATGGGAACTTAGAATTGTTCGATAGTGAGAGCGGGCCGGACCTCACGCTATCACCTCAAACCTTCACGTCAACGGCGGAGGCCTTCATCAATGACAATAGCGACAGTCTCGGAGTTCCAGGAGACAACGATACCGGTAAGTTATTTTTATTTAATTATCAATTAATTTTTATTCGAGATGAAAACATCGCGATATCTTGGAAAAAGTGGAATTCTCGTTGAAAATAAACGATCCTCCGTGATTGACTAACGACCGAAAGAGATTTTCGACGTACTAGAAATTATGCGTTAATGACGCTTTAATAATGACTATTTTATTTAGTTTAACTCATGTCAGCCCGCGCTAATAACGAAGTTCCGTAGCGCTTAGTACGTTACGTTGTCTATACAATCGAAATGCTTAATTTCTCAATTTCGACTTAGAATAAGATGATGAATCATAAGATAACTGCGACAATGCAATTCGCCTGACAATGATTTTAACGCGCGACTTCCCGTAATTCGATTTAATTCAATCTGCGAGAGTGCAAAACGTCGATGGGGGCGCCGAGTCGTTAAGCGCCGGAACATGGGACAATGCATTAACGTAATTGTTGCTCTCCTCGTCAGCGGCACGTAGGAACAGCGGTTATAACTAGTTCGAACAAGTCAGAAGGGGGAGGGAAAGCTGTTGTCGCGCGTGTGCCGCGGCACATATAATGCCTATTGTTTCCGACAAGTATAAGGGGCCACCGTCGGGACAGTCGTGCACAAGTGCAACGCGCACGCTTTGTTTCTTGGAGAAATGTTGAGGGACAATCAAGATCAGCCAGCCGGTGGGTGTAGCAGTAATTTCAATTATTACATTCTACTTCCTCCGGAGCGGAGATTAGTTATTAATTCGATGTACCTAAGGAGAATGAGGAATTCTATAGAACAACGTTTTTTTGGTATTATAATATTTATTGAAAAATGTTATTATTAATATTGATTAAAGAACGCATTAATTTGAACATAAAATGGTATATCACTTCTCTCGTTCGGTCAAGTACATATTAGCGCAGATTTATTTATTTCCTTTAGAACAGCTGTACTAAATCAATCATCCTAGTTTTTAACGTATGCAGTGTTTTTAAGTTCTTGGCAAATTCGTTTAAATCGTCCATTTGCTTTACAAAGTGCGTCATACATTCGGCGTTTGATATTATATTCTAAACAGCAGCTTTCAGCAAACGTATCCAATGAATCAGCTGTCCTATTTATAAAACGTGATGCAAAACATCGAAGCTTGCGACGTCATTAATATCATCGTGCATCTCCCACGCGAACTCGAACGCAGGTTGAGCCAAAAGTCGTAATCAATACGCATCGAAATTATGTTCCGCACAAGTTGTTCGAGAGGTATTACATTTATAGCGAAGATATCATTAATTATATGCGAAGAATATCGGTTTGGTATATATCCGTCGATTTTGCATCAAGAATGAATATTGGCGCATTGTGGTAGCGTGAGTCAGCTGATCGATGTCATTCAGCTCGTCTCGACGTGTGTGATTTCACGAGCCAAAAACGTTCTGATCATGAAACACGAGCCAATAAACACGCGCCTGACCGCGGTGCTCGCATCACATTTCCGCAAGACACATCTCACTCGTGCTATGTTATCGAAACTGACACACTTCTTACTTGACTATCAAATGAAGATTTTTATAAACAATTTGTGATTATATGCGAAACATAATTAAGAAAAACCTTCATCGAATTTTTAAAAGCGATTTTTTAAGGAAATCGCAAAAATTTCATTGAATACTATACTCTTCGCAATCTTTATGTTTCATGTATCTTTGTGCGAATAAAGTTGTAGATAAAAATGTTATCAGGGATCTACTTAAAATTAGCCGAAGAATACGGAAATTAAATCCATAAATCTTAAAATTGATTCAGAATAGTTACGCAACTTTGTATAACGTTCTGATTTATTAAGTAAACTTTGGGCAAACCTTGCAAAAGAACTCGTGCAGTTCGAGCGCTTTTCATCTCGCTTTGCAGTTAGCATTCTCTCATTCCGTATATTTCGTGGCATAGGAAGTTCTCCTCCATCATTCTTTGGTTCTCGTATACGTTGAGTGAATTTATAGGGGAGTCGGTTTGCGACGGGCGGAACGTGCCAGAGAGAGTGAGAGACAGAGAAAGAGGAAGTCGACGCCGGATTTTGCCGCCAAACTCCAAACGAGCGCGGTCGCCGGCAGGCCCTTCTTTGTGGCGCGTGCGTGTACGGATAGCACATAACTTTCGCGCGAGTGTAAGTTCGTTAGAACAATTTCGCGGCGAGTGGTTGTACCGATGCGATGCGATGCGACGATGCGGAGAGACCGCAGAGCTTCCGACGCGGAAGGCCGCACGGATATGTGGCTCGCCTATGAATAAATCTCATCGCGACAAGACGATTTGCATGTATCGTCTGGCATAAGACGTTTCCTTGTTTGTGCAACTAGTGATATAAGCAAGGAAACAATTTGCTCTTTACATCGGCGAAGAAAAGAAACGGCTAGCAGCGTAATATTCCGGATACGTCTTCCTCGTGACATAAAGATTTGATATTTGATATAAAATGAATACGTTGAATATTTCTATCATGATGGTAAACCAGAGTATGCGGTTTCCATTTTGCCAAGTGAGCTTTATCCGGTTTTCGCAATGCTTACGAAATCAAGCCTGCTTTACGATAATATTTCGTAATATTTTTGCTATCGTGTTTTCAATTCCATGCAAAAACGTATGCCACAGTTTTTGCAATGGTGTAATATCTGGATTTATGTCATACTGTACGCATATGGATCATGTTCGTTTTCAGAACCGAAGCGAACGATGGTAAATGTAAATCTCACAAGAAAAGTTCGTTTTCGTGCTCTTCGTTGCGAGAGCAATCCGATACAAGCTGATTGCGGGTCGCGCAAACGAATGGAATGAACTGAACGGTCGGATAATTCGCGATAGCTCCTGTTGTTCTTGAAACAATACCGTGAACTGGATCGTAAGAAGGGAAGAGCGCAATCGCAGTCGGACGTGATGTAGTTTACTTTGGCGCACCGGTGGCATTCGTGATTCCGTCGAGTCTCGAGATGCGTGTCGTTCTTTTCTGTGTCGGTGCGCTATGTGATAGACGTTAATTTGGCTCTTTCCGATCTGTTCGATTTGCAGAAAGGACTACGCTCCGAAATTTTAAATCACTATTATTTACTTGCGTTAAAGGAATTACTCGTCTTATGCACAACATGTCATTTCCATTTGCGAGCCCGAGAAACGATTTCTCTAATGTTATTACGTTCAGAAATTTTTTTTTCTCCTATATTTATCGTTTCTTAACGTATTATCTTTAATTGCTTCTGATGCGGATCATCGACTTTTGCTTGTTATTGGAAGGATCCCGGATTCTATTTCACGTTGACGTTCTTTAAATTGATCATTTCTGAAAGCCGGTTTCCCTACGTAATTGCATAAGCTTCGATCCTTGGGATAGAACATCAATTATAGTCGATCGTAAACGATGGATATAATTGAGCCGTTATTAGCTGCGTATTCTATTTGCGACTTGCGATTGATGCATTACCAATATGCCTGAGTTATAATAAAGGTAGTTGCGACACGCGCTGATTAATTAATTACGACAATTAAAGTTATGTTACCCGACATGGGAATCTGGAACTTGTTAAATTTTTTATCGACATATGATATAAATGCCGGTGAAAGAATAATCATTTCATTCATTGTGCCTGGTATACGCTGATTATAATTTCATGCGTGAAATGTTCACATCAATTGTTACATTATCATAATAATTGCGTTTGTGATGCGTTTAATACTTGATCCTTCTCAAGTATGCATTATATATTGTATATATTATTAAGCCACAATGCCACAAAGCCACGTGTTATTATTATTGACGAGTCACGGTAATATTGAATTTTGTTTCTCAAGATTATAAACGTAAATTTAGCGAATAGCTTTCACAAACATCAAAAGAAATGTCACTGTTAATTGATTACGTTATTTTTTGATAATTGCAATATTTCATCATTCTTAGTGCTATTAAAGCGAGAAACGTTTCTTTTTAGAATTGCAAGCTCTGGAATAATTCCAGTTTTTACGATGATAGATTAGACTTTTCCTTGGTGATAAATTCTGAAATTCGCGTCTTTCTGGAAGAAGGTCGGATACATTTTATGCATAATAACTTCTCTCTTTTTTCTTTGTCATGTGGACGTCGCGTTTTTTAATATATGAAAAGACATTTAAAAGCAAAAAGAAACGTTTTATATGTATAGCTACATTTTTCATTTTTCTTCAAATTAGAGGAGAAAGGAATTTTCGCTCGAGATATTTTTAGAGCTTCGGATTATTTTATTCGTAATTCAGTTAACGAGGGAATGTTTTCGATAATATACACGGGAAGAGGATAGGGAGAACCATATTGACGGAGTGGCGCATCGGCGATCGATATAACGCCACCGGCGCTCTCTAAATAATACTGATCGAGATTCGTCGATGCAATTGCAAAAATCCACAGCCCGCGGTCGTCGTAACGCCATTGGCCAAGGCAGAGAGATATCGAAACAGATCCGTCGGTAGGAAATTCGTCCTCAGATTTCTTCGTCCGCTCTCTTATCCTTTCTCGCCCTCGCCGTTCCCTTCCTCCTTCTCCTCCTCTTCCTCCGCTTTTCATCCTCCATTGGAGGGAATTCACTTCGTCGGATAGTCCTCTGAGATTCCAATGCGCTCTCAAACACGCTGAGATTACGTCGGAGCTTATGGATTCCTTATCCAATCTTTCGATCAGCACTCGAACTTGGCGTCTTACGCTCTTTAGAATGCGCCGCGTCTGTGTAGGGGGGAATTCATTCGCGAGAAACTTGATTTTATGTGTCAAATGATGCTAAATTGACCCGAGCTGGACGAACAATGGCATTCTCAGTAGGAAAAAAGGAGCTTTCTTATTTTGACGTAAACGCGAAATTGGATTGTCACTAAATCAATGTCCAACTATTATTCATATTTGTTATTACAATAAAATTTATTTTGATGTAGGAAGAAAATTAATTGTCGACCGCGGTATAATAAATAAATTAAAAAATCTTAGTTTCAATATAATATAATTGA